TTCCCTGGGGCCTCCTCCTGGTGGAACGTGGTCAGAACACCTCACCAGGGAGGCGTCCAGGAGGCGTCCTGACCAGATACTGAGTCATCTCAACTGGCTCCTCTCAACATGACGGAGCACCAGCTCTACTCTGAGTCCCTCCCGGATATCTGACCTTCTCACCCTATCTCTAAGTTAGTTGGTTAGATAACTAGTGTTGGCTAACTTTGAAGAAGGCTAATATATTGATTTGTGACAATAACGCTGTCACAGTACTCATGATTGACACACACAAACACATTTGTGAGATAAAAAATAAAGATAATATTTATATCGAGACTGCAGCTCCAAGGAGAAGCTTTGTGGAACTATGCAGCGCTTTGTGAGTGTAAGAGTTTAGACTCCCTCAAATGGCTGCCACAGGAGGTTTAAGGATTCTGCAAACATGAATGAAAGAATCAAAGCAGCACTTCCGGTTTGTTTTTGATGAGGGAATAATATTATAACACGATAAGAAGCTTAAAAAAAAAAAAAAAAATCGATCCTACATAACACCTCCCTTTAAAAAAGCACTGTTAATTTCTTTTTTCTCGTTTTCACTCACCAGTAGTAACTAAATAAGAGTAACTACTATTTCATTTGCACAAACTGTATTTTTGTTGGCAGTCTGCACAGCAGTGATACATCATAATGATCGCTGATAGTGGTGTCATGCTAATATCAGTATTTTCGTTTGTTTTTGTACTTGGGAGTGTTTATTGGCTTTGCCCCTATTAATCAGAAGCTATCACTTGTGGCTAATGGAGATAGATTATCAAGCGCAGAGACGTGACTGTCCCTGACAAAGCCTGCTTTCTGTGTGTGTTGCTTTGTGCTGCCGATATAACACAACTGTGTGACTGTCTGCTTGATGACTGGAGCCACCACGGTTTGTGTCACCTATGCTCGGCAAAGATGGTGAGGGTGTGTTTGTGGAAACACAGGGGTTAAACACAGTCATTTATTGCCATGTCTGTGTGTGTGTGTGTGTGTGTGTGTGTGTGTATAATTAGTTTAGACAATGCTTGCGCTCACTCTTCACATTTATTCCCTAAACACGCAAGGTTTTAAGAGCACCTGTTCAAGCTTCTTCTACATGCCCCGAGGTAGGAAAAACTTCGCCTGACTTTAATTCCTCAGAGATTCCGTTACTATCTTTGCTGCACCGGGTAAAATACAAGCAAAATACTAATATTATTTCTCTTCTGCTTACTTGAGGTGTGTCCTTGCAAAGCTTCCCGCGATACCGCTTGTCCGTTTTGCATCATGGAAGGGGATTATTCAGTCCTGCAAAATTAGCACATTGAATAAAATAAAAAATAAAAAAAAAGAAAGAAAACGTAGCAAACTCAAAATCTCATTAATTCAACAGAAAAATGAATGTTTGTATTTGAGCAACAAACTGCGAATCATCCTTGGGTGCACACAATCCCCTGCAGATGTGCTCTCTTAAGGAAACACACACTTGTGTAAAGCCATTTTACTTTCATTAAGCGTCACTCAAAATAAACGAGAGCTCTCATTTTATTGGGTTCTGCCAGACTTGATTTGAGTGCCTCTCCAGCACAGAACCTCACATCAACAGGTGCATAGACACTTGGATATCCCTCATCCTGACACCAGCGATGAGAGAAAGAGAGGGTGAGCTCTACTTCACCCATTGCTCATACTTCGCACTCCTGCTAAAACTTGTGCGTTCGCTCTAGCGGTCATTTATTTTTGTGCTGCAGGGATGAGGTGCAAAGACAATGTCATGTGGAACTTCAAATGAAGATTTGCACACAAAAGACACTAAACCAGGGTTTTCCAAATCGTGGCCAACCACAATTACAACCACAATTCAGGAATGATACAAATTTGGCCAAAGTGGTAAGAAAAGATTTAAAAACATTTATGGTTGAATTTTTATTGTTCTTATCAATAATTAAATATAAATAATAATTAAAGGTAAACTAAATCTTAAACAGAAAATGTTAACCACAACACAGTGTATACGGTAAGTTTTTATTACTCATGTGTATTGAGTATTTAGTTTATTGCTATGCAGGTACAAGTGAAAGTGTTACACTAAAGTTTTTATGGATTTAAATAAATTTGGTCCACAACGGTTTTAAACATGAAAAATGCGGCCCATTTGGCAAAGAGTTTGGACGCCACTGCCTCAAACAGAATTAAAGTATTTCCATTTTTTAAAGATGTTCTAGTGTCTCACCAGTTGTAACAGTTTTATGTGCTGTGGTGTGTTATATTTAGTGTCGCTGTGGATTCTTTCCTGCAAGCAGTAAAATAGCCTTAAGTTTCTCCATTTGGAAATAATGTATTGCCGACGGTTTTGGATCATCTCTTTCAAAACTCTTTCAAAAGAGTCATTGCCACACTTGATGGAAGATCTTGCAGCCAAAGGTGACACTGTCGGTTATTAGCTTTAGATTGAAACAACCTTTTTATACAGAACTAGAATGAAATGAATGACTTCTTTACTTTGCTAAAGAAATTGTGTGTTCTTTTTTTAAAATTACTCAGGTTAGTTTTATCTGAAATTTAAAATATGTTTGTGGGCGTTGCATGGGGTTGTGCTTAGAGTGGAGACTCTTTATACAGAAGCTGCAGACTTTGATGTGGCCCTCCTGAGTTCGATTCCCATCCTGGGTCCCTTTGCCACATGTCTTTTCCCCTTCTCTCTGTCCTCTTCCTATCTGATTACAGTTGAATAACTAGCATCTGAAAAATACAACAAAAAAAATGTAAATATACAGCACTATATGCTTATTTTTGTGAATTTGTAAGCCAAAGCCACCCTAAATAGCAATGTGATGAACCTAGTTTCAGCTTTCATTTTCTGTTTTATGAAACTAAAACCACCTGGACCTATCTCATTCCAAGATCTACCCAAAAATTAGTGATTCTAGAAGATGCAGTAATATAAAATAAGATTTAACTGTATTGAAGAGGCCTTAAGATGTCAATAGATTTATACACACTGGTTACACCAGGAGCATCTTGACAATGGGTGAAATCTTAGATAAAACACAATGTAACATATTTAAAAGTGCGAAGATTCTGCATCATCCGGCAGAGTACAGGCTGTCAAAATATCCATTTGACATTCTACTCATGGCTGCACAGAGAAGAAGCGTATTAAAAAGTTCTCCAGCGTTGTTTGGATCACTAATGGTATTTTAAGGTCAGCTACAACAACAATCAAGTTTTCTCGTCTCTAAGCAAACAAAGTAATAATAATAATATATTACAAAAAACAAAACAAAAAAAACAGTCTCCTTATTTATTGTTCTGTTGTCTTCTTTCAGCTATTGATTGCCAGCTGTCTTGAGGGTATAGGCAGACTTAGTGATGACCTTTAAAATCTGTGTGTGTGCTGTAGATTGAGTATGTTTGTGCATTATTACCTCCGTGTCCAACCTCAGCATGTGCTCTCTTTGTGTTCTGTCATGTTATCATATTTTCTCCTGTTCTCTTCATCGATTAGCTGTCATCAGGATGAAATGTGGACTTTTGTTTCTCGGAGTTAGCAAATATGCTCTCCCTCCTCACTTGTCTCACTCTGTTTCATTTTGTCTCCCTTTTGCTTGTCTGACTTATTTCTCAAATACAGGATTTCAAATGTCAATCTCTTCCGTCTTATCTCAATTTTCTTGGGCTTTTACACTCCTCTCTGTGAAATATTTAGTCACATTGGTTCTTTATTTTGTCTTTTGAACTGTAAAGTTGTTACAGGAGGCGGCATCACCTTTTTAGTGCACTTAACTGTTTGCCACTTTTTTCAGTTCCTCAAATCCTAGAGAGCAAATCTGACCTGCCACCACACATTTGCTATGCATGGCTTCACTTGTTTGTGTCTGCTTTTGCATGCCAGTGTGTGCACATGTCTTTTTCCCCTTTCCCTGCATGTTATTAATATTGCTGGTATGCATGGCTAAGCATGGGGCAGTTCTCTTACTGGGATGCTAAACAGTAGCAAAAAAGAAGGTTAACTAGGAAGGTCACCTGAGCATACCAAGGGAGATATCCATCACAGCAAAGCAATAAATTCCTGTGGACAGCGTGGTTATTTATTTTTATTTCTGTGCAAAAGAAGACAGTTTCTGCAGGTAAGCTGGCAGCCAGCCTGAGGGCAACTTGACACATCCACTGCAGACATTTTAAGGCGAACACAGAGTCCCGAAGTAAACAAACTGACTGGGCAAATCAGTTTGAAAAGTTGCTTGTTTGGTTGCTGGGACAAGATTTGCAGCCTTCCTAAATAAGAAGAAACTCAGTTGAAATTAGAGGAATTACTCCGTTTTCTAATCTGCATCCTCTTTCAGAGTTTTATTAGAAGCACAGAAAAGAAAGCATCTAAAGTCCTTTTCTAGTGCATACAATTTGTTTTGTCAAAGCAGTGGCTACAGCGTAGATAAGGCTACCAGGACTCTAGGGGGCGCCTTAAAAAGCGGCAAGAGGAAAAAAAAAAGATTTTCACCATTTTTTTTTTTTTAACTAGTAGGTGATAATATAATTTCCTAACATGAAAATTTCTGCACTGAATTATCTGCACATCAAAAAAATATTAAATATTACATCTAAAAATAATGATTCTTTGATTAGCTCCGCCCACTCCTTCTCCACTTGTTGGTTTGTTCCGGCCAGCGCCAATGATACGCTGGCCGGAACAAACCAACGGCGCTGGTTGCTACACCGCATGCGCCACTCTCCCCTCACCGCTTTGTTGGTCCTCACTGACATTCCCGCTGTTCGCTCTTTCCAAATGATTGGGTGAGTTTTGCTGCGGATATGTCTTCAGAAAGCATCATGTCGAAGTTGCCTGGTGCCCAAGGAAGAACAGAGAGAATAAAAGAAGAGGAAAAACGTGACAAAAATAGAGGTAAAGTAAAATAATGTGATGGAATTACCTGTTGGTTTAGTTATTTAGCAGAGTGTAGTGTAGCAGCTAGGTTTGCTAGCCAGACACGAAGCTAGGCAGTATACAGCCTAGCAAATTTGTTTTATTGCTTTCAACTGTCAAGTCAAACTCTACATTTTATGATAGTTAACACACAAGCCTAAATAGCAGGACTCGTAATTAAAGTGACACTTTGTTTTTTCATTAGGCTGCAACTGTGCCAAAACATTTAAAACGTGAAGCAAAACAAATATTGCCTTCTTACAACACAACTTGCAAGCAATGCAACACCATTGCTTGTCACTGATCTCAGTATCTTTAAGCAGGTTAAAGCAATCAAGACAAGTCAACTGTGTGAGCTCATTTCATAACAGTACGCATTATTGTCAGCTTGGCATCATTATAACATTCCCATATACTATTGAAGTGCATTTCTTCATTGCATCTCAGAAAAAACATCGCTTTGTGTACAGTGAACATAGGGCATTTCTTATGTTTTTATTTTTATTTCTGGACTCATACTCTTCTTTTTCTCGTCAGATGCATTATTTAAATCACATCCCTGGACCTTCTGCAGCACCACAAAGCGCTCTTCCTGTTGTCTCCCCCTCCCAGGAGCAGCATCAAGTGTTCACTCATCGATCAGAGATGTCTGCTGCATCAACTGACCCTGGTGATTGGGTATATCCTGTTAGTGATCAGGTCAGAATACTTTTAGTTTGACACATGGGAAAGGGGACACCACACAGAGTCTTGTGTAGGTGTATTTTTTTGATCTTTTGCGCATTTATTGTTAAGTCGCATTGTTTTGTAATGTTGAGCAAGAAAGATGAAAAAGGGAGCTGTCTGTTAATGAAGTAATGTAAGGCTATAATATTACATGCAGTTGTACTGTAATATCAAATGCTAAGAACCCCTGTGGAGCCAGTAAAGTTGCTTAGAGTCGTATAATTTGAAGAAGCTACTGCATACTCAGCTTATCTAATTGCTTAAACTTTTCACATGATTCTAACTGAACAGTTTGTTAACCTGATGCTAAACATTTTAAATATAATGAAATTCTCTTCCCTCTTTCAGATGTATTCTCTTTAGGATTTCCCAGGTAATTATCTAAAACATCTAAGAACAGCAGGATAGCCGATTCTTAACAAAATCTATAACCTCAATCAAACCAAGTCTAAACATCATTTCCCCCTGTGTGTGTGTGTGTGCTCTGATATTCTACATAATGTGCTCCATGAGCTGCTGGGATACTAAAATGTTAGTGCCTCTAATTATCTCTGAGGCATCAGCAGTTGACTGTTGTGGACCTTTTTAATGACAGTGAAGCAGCCAATTATTGCGGGATGAACTGTCCTCTGCTTTCAACAATTTGACACCCATATTTTACTGGTCAGGTGAAAAGCATCCCCTAAAAAAGATCTTAAGGCGTTAAATCTATCATGTCAGATTATATGTGATGCTCCAGGACTGTGTGCCAACATTCAAATGGCCATATCTTCTTCATATTTTTTTTATTTCCCTGTGTTTGACATCATTAGAAAGCTTAGAATACACACTTTCAGAATCTGTAAATAACTCCAAACGCCCCTGGGTAGACGTCTCCTGGTTTTGTCATGCGTAGTCACATATGCTTTGTTTCAGGTCTGAGCTTTAAATTCTGTTTAAATTTGTTCTCAAACATATTGCCTATTCTTCATCATGGTGGATTTTACAACTGTTGTAAATTTGAACATTTCATAAACCTATCTCCTGCAATAGTCTTTTCATTTTATTGACTTTATCTCTGTTGTCCTTCCTCTCATGCGGGTGCTTTCATCCGCCAGGTTTTTAAACCTTTCTTCTGTTTGCCCATCTTCTCTAACAGTTCTAATCATTATGGCTTACCCTTTTATAACAAGCCATAGTTCCATATCGCCTTTCAAGCTATTACATCTTTATTGGCTGTGCAGACATGCCCACATATGCCTGCTAGAAGAGCATAGAAATGAAAACTTATATACAAATGTGCAGGATCATAGCTGGTTTAAATTTGTCCTCCAACATTAAAATTTAACCACCTGGCAGTATGTTATCACAGGCCTTTCATGCTTCTAGAAATAATAAATAAGAGACATGTTTAATATGAAATGAAAGTGGTGAAGTAGCATCTGACTAACAGATAAACCAGAAGTAAAATTCTACAAGGATTTATATTGACATGAACCAACCTCTTATCTTTGCTTTGATAGCCTTTTAGTTAGTTCAGGGTTCCCCCCAGTGTATTGTAAACATGGGTGAGGGGGTGCCTGGTGCTACTTGCACCCCAGCTAGGCTAAGTGTTGCTTGTTTATTTATTTTAAATAGGGTTAGGCCAGGGCGCGTGCACTTGTCCCATTTTCCACGCTCTACGCATTGGCTTCACGTGCAGCGGTGTCTGGCAATGCACTTCTGAAGTTATATACTTCAGCACAGACCTTTCACTAAAACTGGACGATTTGGAAGGTGTTCTTGCAGAGCAGGTTCGCTTGTACCAGCTTTTGTATGAACTCTCTAGGAGGACTAATTTCCAGGGAATATGGCTGATGTCAAAAATAAAAGCGTCACCGCTTGCTCAGCCTGCAGGTGGTCAAAATGTCCTGAAAATATAATTCAAAATATAGCTGCGCTTTTAGTGGTTTGTGTTGAGCACTCAATAAGACTGATGTGAACGCACATATTTCTGTGAACAAATAATTATGTTGGTTTGGGAGGGGGGGTCTCCATTTAAGTCTGAAACATGCTAGCTCAGTATGTGTTCTGCCATATGCTTGGTTCTATGTGTACTCTTGCAACTTGATAAAGTTGATGTAAATAAACCGCACCAGCAGTCAGATCTTTTGCATTCAGAGTATTCCTTATACTGGATTCGCTACCATAAACAGCAAATCAACATACTGCACCAATGTGTAGACATTACTAAACAAGAAATACTTTTACAGTAAGAAAATTTAGCTGACCAAATCAACACACATAATTGTCATTGGTAAGATGATGATTTTTTTTTAGGCAAATTGACTCATTGTCCATTACAGGTGCAATTTTCATTTATAATTAAATGACCCAAGGTTATATGGGGCCATAAGCAGAATATGATGTAGGAGTCGTTCTTCCTGTTAAGAACATCCCCACCACAGCATCTTAATACAGATTTGCCGGAATCTGGGAAAGAGAGCCAAGTTTAATTGGCCAAGCTTAAAAGCAATTAGTGATAATTGGTTAGTTGCTGAGATGTATTTGTGAAGAAGTCAGACACAAAAATTAAACTCATAGCATCAGATTGTAGCTGTGGTAACACAACAATTAAACCAAGAAGATAAGATTTAGCAGGTCTCAAATAAATGAGACGGCAAGTCTCAAGAGATATTTCTGTATAAATAGATGACTAATAATAATAATAATAATAAAAAATAATCTTTGCACTTTTACAAAGTAAACTTGCCAGCTCCTATCCTACATTTAAATTAGGATTCATCAGTTAAACATGAGAGTAACAGTAAGGTGGAAAGACATTGAAGCAATGGGTTGTCTTTGTGCTTTTATGTCAGAGCTTTCTAGTTTGTGACTGGCGGTGTAAATTTCCACTTGCCTTTACTTTCTTATTACAATAAAGATAGACCCTTCAATATTTAATATATGTACACATCATATACTGGAGCCAGGCCCTCATCATGCCATGTCTACACCCAGAGACTCCAAGCACCAGAAAACTGCAGATTGATCTTCAGAAACCCCAGTGGTTACCCTTATCCAGACTACACCATTCTTATGTCTCTGCTTTGCCCTCTATGGTGCCATCATACTTCACTATCATCTTTGCAAAGATTTGATGCATTTGCTGTCTGTGTGACTGTGTGTGTATGAAGGCAAGGCCCCCTGTGTGGCCCAGCCAAAAGACAGCACAGTTTTTTTTTTTTGACCTCGCTTATACCTTCCCTCAGGGGCTAACGATCCAATCAGAGCATAAGCCTATTTCCAGACCCTGCCCTTGGGAGCAAGAGAGATCCAATAGGATAAAGGTTCATCTTGGATCAGAATTAGCAGGGGAGTCGGATAAGGCACCACACCGACTGTAAAAAAAAAAAAAAAGCATCCAAAGAAATACAGGAAAGGATGACATAAATACAGAAATAAAGTTTAATCAAACATCACCTTTAATGAACGGTTCTTACCACATTATGAGTGAATAATTATAGGATTTCGTATACTCAAGAACACTCAACATGTGGAAGTTTAGAATACACAAAATTAAGGCACAGATTGTTTTATGGTTTTGTGCATTTGACTGAATGCAACTCATCCCCCATGATGATTGAAAGCTAGCTGGATAGCAAACAATTTCAAATGACAAAGGAAAAAACAGCTTCTTCTCAGATTTAAACAATAGAGCAACAGTAAAGTATGTTGTCCAGTTAAAATACACAAATGTCAGCCTAATAGTTTAAAAACTTTTGTTTTACACTTTTTTGTAAGAAACAAGTGAAATTCACATTTTCTTAATTCCTTTTGACCTTACTCTTGGCCTGAATTGTCATAACTTGCCAAACCCACCTTTTAAATTTACAACATTAAGCATGAGAGGAATCATTGTGGTTTCTGAACTGGTGCTGCAATATTCAGAGGGAGAAAACCAGTAATTCCACAGGACTGTAAACAATTGGAGCTGAATGCGTTGTAGTTTGCGGAGTTGATGGATAAAGAAGCTCTGACATTTTTTGAGATTCTGAAAAAACAATCGTTTTTATATATATATATATATATATATATATATATATATATATATATATATATATATGAGTGAACATTCTTTGGTATCATTGTATTTATACACAATTTCAAAACATTTTTAAGAAAAATACAATTTCATAAAGGGTGGGAGTGGCTGGCTATTATGTAAAATTAAGTTTAATTTTTTTTACCAATTTAAAAGCTTCTACCCTATCTATGCTGAAAATTTCAAATCAATTTTACTAATATTCCTTCTCAATAACGTAAACATTTAGACTTGTGAACTATGCTAAAATTCAAGCCTTTGCAAAACGTCCCTCATGTCACTGCTAAAGAGCAGCTTAGTTCGCTTATGCATTGGGCTGGCTCTGTGTGGGAGTGATGGATAAAATTGGCATAACTTACCCTCAGCTGAAAAGTAACCCAAGGCTTTGAATATAGATTTTTTTTATTTTATCATTGTAACACCAAGTATGTTAACAAACCCATCTTATTTCCCACCCGTAGTGTTGATGCTGTTTAGCTTCTTCCGTACCTCTTCTGCTGAAATTGTGATCTATGAGGCATCTTCTTCTGTTTAATTGCTTTTTGGCCTCAGGATGTAATAACTCTGCCTGGTGCAACGTGCCGAAGTGTCTTTGTGCATGTTGATATGTCTGTTTAAACAAAAGATGTGTTCAGATTGGGCTAATGTGAAAAGATGCAGGGCTGTGGTTCATAAAATCTAAATCTGCTGAAACGTTGCTGATGGATCAACGGTCCATAGTTCAGCTGCTTCCTGTCAAATTACTGCACATGCCCTGGAATCATGTCAGAGATATGGGCAAATAGAGATGCTTTTTGGATTTATAAATGTATTTTATAAAGCTCTGACTGCCAAAATGATGCATGCATGTATATTTGTGTGTTTTTCTGTATTGCCAAGGGCAACAAATGTCCTTTATCACTGTCAAAAT